CTTTAAGGAATTTCCAAATCATCTTGATCTTCCGAATGAAGGTTTGGATTATTATATATTTCATCATCTATGATTTATTAATTATTACATAAAAATAATAAATATCTTGATTAAAAGAAATTGTTTATTCCTTACCATCACCTTCAATACAATTTTTTTGTCTATCATTATTGAAGACCATAGGAACTTCTAAGAAATATTTAATTTAATAATTATAAATACAGTGAATTTAAAATAACTTAATTAAATAATTACCATAATTTGTTATTAGTGTTAGGTTTTATTTTTTTAGATTTCATGTTCAGGTTTTCATTTTCTAATAAAAAATTTGTATTAGATAAAAAAATTATTATTTTGTAAATAGATTAAATTTCATAGTATAATAAAATTAGTTATTATGATCAGGATAATTTCTTTTAGAATTGCCTTCTATTTCAACATTTACGTCTATAACATAAAATGTGTAAATTACTTAATTATATAAACAAATTAAAAACAAATATTACAATAAATATAATCTTACTAATTATCTTTGCATCTTTATTCTGTTCGTTTAGATCTTTATTTATAACTTCGGTTGGTTTAATAAATAAATTTGTAAAATTAAAATGATTTATAAAATTAAATACTTACTATTTGGAATGTCAAGACTATTTTGCTTACTATCATATGCTTAAAAAAAAGTAATATTAAATAATAGGTAATATTAAATATTGATATTTTTAAATTAATACCTTCTTGTTTTTCTATTAATTAAAAAATAATTTAATTTAAATAACTTCGATTATGATTTTAATAAATATAACTAATAATTTACCTTTAGTAGCATTTCTTAGCTCAGGTAAATTTTCAAAAATATGAACTTTGCTAAATTTTCTAGCTAATGAGTTAACCAAATTAGAGTTTGTAGCAAAACTTGTTGTTATATCATTATTATCACTAATTTTATAATCCTCTTCATTTTTTTTATAATGAAATGATTTATATATTTCTTGAAATTTTCTCCAAAGAGTTAAAGTATCGGGTCTCTTCAATGGATCAGCATCCCAACATTGTACCATTAATTTCTTATATTCTAATGGAGTGCCTGAAACTATATTTGGTCTCATTCCATTCACTATATTCATTACAAGATCATAATTATGATCAAAATAAGCAAAGGGTGGTTGTCCAGATGAAATCTCCCACATAAGCATACCTATACTGTAAATATCTGATGCTTTAGTACTTTCTTTTCCAAAAATAACTTCTAGTGCTATGTAAGGAAGATTTCCATATACGCTTTTTAAAGGTTTATCAATAGGCCCACAGAATCCGAGATCACCAATATACCAATCATTGGTATACTTTAGATATAATATATTTTCTGAATGCAGATCTCTATGAATAGCATCCTCTTGATGAAGTAAATAAGTACTGTTAATAATAAATTCAGCAATATGAATTCTTTCTTTCCATTTAAGTTGTTTATTATTTTGTTGTAAATAGTTTTTTAAATCTATATCTTGCAATTGTAATACTAAAAAATAATATTTTGTTAATGGATCCTGAGTAATACCATAACATTTAACTAATGACGCCAATTTATTGCTTAATGTTAAATGAGAATGTGCCTATAAACAGAATTCAATATTTTAGCATTTAATTATATAACTGAATATTTTTAAATATTTTATACCTCTTCAAACCATCTCCTCTTAGCACTTTCAACATTATCTAACCTTTTAAGTACTACATCATGTGTTCCACTTCTTTTAATTGTTGCGTATCAGAATCCCATTCATAAAAGCTTCCACCAATCCAATCTGCCGTATATATTTCAGAACATCCACCTTTAGTTAAATATTTTATATTTTGTAAATTGTTATGTGGGATCCATTCAATTATTTTATTTTGGAAAATTGTTTCCATTTGACATTTCTTTATTAATTCATCAATTTCATCATTTCCGGACGTCCAATTTGTAAATTTTGCTTTTAAATAATTTCGAATACAAAGTTCACAATATGATATCGCTAAACATTCTTGTTGGCAGTTCTCGCAAATTCTTTTCATTCCTTGATTTCTTGTAACTTTATAACCTTCATAATTAGTTAATAACAACCTCATTACCTCCGATTTTTCATCATGTGTAAAAGATTTATCATCCATAATTGCTTGATGCCTCAATTCAAACTCTTTGTCGATGTCAGTATTATCTACTAATGTAATTACTTTATCAAATAGTATATTAACTAATTCACTACGAATAAATGTCATAGTGGCAATGGAATAGGAAAATAAGAAATGTTTGTATTTCTAAATTATAGGGCCGGTAAAATATCTACATAAACTTTTACTATTTTCAACTCAAATTCACAAGGTTTATTGATGAAACATTTTAGTTTTCCTCTGCTTGAAATTTGAAAATTCACGTTACTTATATAGTTTATTTAATACACTATTTCCACCGTTTGGGAAAATTAAGATTCTTTCCGAATTGATACTAAAATGAATATTCCAATTAAAATTTTTAAAATTCTTAACTTTGAAACAGGAGAAGAGTCTATTTATGCAGGAACAAAAGTCGTGTTACCGTTCGAAAATTCGAAAATTCGAAAATTTCTAGTATTGTTATTGTTAATCAATATTTATTGTTTTCAGATTAACATAATGCATGCAGTCTGGTGTAAAACTAAATTTAAATTGCAATTCAGTTGAGCATATAAATTTCTAATTTTAAAGGATTACATTCAATGCGAAGCATATAAATGACCACTATTTTCTTTTTAAATATATGTTCGATTTTGACTAGTGTTATTAGAAAAAAAAGCTCTTCTATGTCATGCATCATCATCCAAATTGGCCTTTCCTCTTTTTGTATTTAGTCTGAATTGATAAATTCTATAATATGACGGATTAACGAAGAAACTTCTAAAGAAATAGGAGAGCAAACAAAGATATCTTGGTGTTATTTTTTTTTTTTATAAAATTTTTTACATCCTTTCTTCTTTTAGGTTTCGGCTTAGGTTTCAGCTTACATATGGGTGGTATGCTATTAAAATTTAGGTACGAAACATAGTAAATCATATGATCTGTACCTCAATTTTAATAGCACACCACCCATATGGAAAATCTAATTTCTGAAAAATGTGCGTGTACCTTTTGCTTTTTGTAGTAGTAGTAAGCATAATTTTAACAAAATTAAAAAAAAATGTTCCTTAAAACAAAAATTAAAAAAAATGTAAAATATGTTTATTTTTAAAATCTTTAATTAAATTTTTTATAATATTCGTTATTTATTTATTATATTTTTTTTTATTAAAGATAAAACTTACCGACCGTATTAGTATTAGGGTTTGGAATCAAAATCGAATTAATCGAAAATCGAATAAAAAAATCGAATCTTTCTTAGTAGTGCAGTAAGTGTGCCATAAAGAAAAACTAAGCATATAATCAAACGATACTTTGCTTATTTGAGAAAAAAAGATTATAAAATAAAGTGAATGATGATCAAAAGAAAAATCGATCGTTTGAAGAATAATAAAAATTAAAAAAAAATAACAAAACAAAAAAACAATTTTAACCTCATATCGCGTAAATCTAATTCATAGTCAAAAAAAATAAAAAATATCTAATAATCGAATCTTGGGATTCGATTAATCATTACTAAAACAAATTTATAATATAAAATTTAAAATAACATTTTTTTTTTAAATTTAAGTAGAAAATTTCGTATATTAAAAATGAATTTTATTTAAAAATAATAGATTTATAATGTGTTGAATTTAAAAAAAAAATTTTTTATTTAAATTTTAATATAGCTGTATAACAAACATTGTATGATTGTTTTATACGCATCTTCGTATCGTACTTGTAAATTAGATGCAATTATCCAAAAAAAGAAGGTAAAATACAACCAGCAAAAAGATAGTATCAGTTATACCTTTATCATAAACTAATATACTTGATAAAGAAAACTTACCGTACTTGGATAACTAAATTAATATCACCTTATTTTCTTACCTTTAGTACAATTTTTGTCCGAATTTTATATAGAGATGAGATAACAAAAATAAAGACGATCTAAGAAAATCAGCATTAAGGTCTAAGGATTTTGAATCAATAAATACATAATTGAATAAGTAATGAAGATCTGGAAATGTATTTATGATAAATGAAATTTCATTTTTATCTTAATCATCTTTATTAATAACGTTACACTCTTTTCCATCACCATTCCACCAAGAAATAATATAAATCATTGAACTTTTGTAAACAAAGGTAAAGTTTCGAATCATTAAACTAAACCAATTATCACAAATTTGATGTTGTTCAAGACATCCTCCTCTTGTTAGATTCACGTAAAAAGATCCGCGACTTCTTAATCCTAATTCATAATTTCGAATATTTTCTTTCCAATTAGCTTCATCCAAATTAGCTAAAGCATTCGAAAGTAATTGAGCGTCTTCAAATGCACAATTTGTTCCTAAAGAAAATCAAGGAGGAAATAAATTAAGCAAATACAAGGTTTAATTTCACAAAGAAGCATAATGTAATACAAACAAACCTATTCCAACCCAAGGATTCATAGCGTGAACAGCATCTCCTA